AGTGAGAATGAGGCAGAAACAATGAAAATATAATAGCTGAGAAAATTTCAGAATTGATAAAGGGCAACAATCTAAGGAGTCCAGAGAATCTTAAGTAGGATCAGAAAAAATAAATTTGCACACAGATGTGTCACAGTACAGAGATAAAGAGGAAAAAAATCCCTACAAAGGAGTATCAGCTGTTGCTAGCTCACTTTACAACAGAAATAACTGAAGCCTGACGACAATGAAGTAACATCAATGTGCTAAAAGAAAATTTCCCATTCTATATCCTTTAAAAATATTTTAAAGATAAGATAAAGATATTTACAAACTAAACTGGAGTTTGCTCTTGGAAGATCTTCACTAAAAAAAGATTCTAAAGGATGAATTTGACTCTTACTATACAGGGTCTAGCACAAATAATGCCCCATTTTTATTACAAAATCTTTTATTACAAAATCATAAGCATGTTATTCTGTAACAACAAAATATCACACTCAAGCACACCATATAATATTTTAGGTGAAATGTTCAAATTAAAACTATAAATTATTACACCCATATTATTACCATACCAATGACACTCAAAGCCTTACTTCTGCCAGACCCTGTATATACAAAAATTATTTCTAGATGTATCATAGATTCAAATATGAAAGGCAATACAATAAAATGTCTAAAAGGAATATAAGCATTTCTTTAGAGTACACAAAGGTTTCCTTTTACTGGACATCAAAATCACTAGTCATAGAAGAAAGAAAATTGATAAACTAGACATTATTAAAATTAAGAACTTCTGTTTATTAACAGATAACATTAGGAGAATCAAGAATAGTCTCCTGGCTAGGAGAAGATATTTGCAATACATAAATCTGACAAAAGATTCACATCTAGAATACAGAAGTAACTCCTAGAAATATTTTTTTTTTAAAAAGGCAACAAGAGAACAGCAAAATATTTTAACAGGTATTTCATAAAAAAATATAAATGGTCAATAAGCATATGAAAATGTATTTAACATTATTTCCTTTATGATAAACTAAAACCAAAATGAGGTAACTGTATACAGGGGTGGGCAAAAGTAGGTTTACAGTTGTATGTAAAAGTTTATTCTTGTATTGTTTTTGTATCATTTTCCATATGAACTGTAAATCTACTTTTGTCCATACCTGTATATGCAAAAGAAATTAAAAAGTCTAAATTAAAAACACTGAAAGTCCTGTGTTGGGAGGATGTGAAGCAACTGGATCTCTCATACGTGGCTCACAAGGGCTAGTTATTTAAAAGGACCAAAAACAAAATTTGCCAACCTATAGCAAAACTAATTAAAAAAAGAACACAAATGGCACAAATAAACAGTATCAGGAAGGAAAGGCTATCATTATAGGTCCTGTACATATTACACAGATAATAAGAGGATATTGCAGACAACTTTGTATATTTCATCTGAATTTTCAAATTATCAGTATAAATTCCTAGAAAATTTCACTTTACCCAAAATAACTAAATCAAAATTGACTCTAGAAAAAATAGAAAACCTGAATAGTTCCAAAATCATTAAAGAAATTGAACCAACAATCAGAAATCTCTCCACAGAAAGAAGTTCATGCCCAGGTGACATGCAGGCAGTTCTGGAAAATATTCAAGAAAAGAAATAACTCCAGTCTTAACAAAACTTTTCTAAGAACAAAATAAGAAGGAACATCTGCAACCTATTTTATAAGCTAGACTATTTTAATAGAAAAGCTCAACAGGGATGAGAAAGGAAAGTTATAAGCATTCTTACTCATGAACATAGATAAAAAATACCTGAAATACATATACACATACAACCTTGTGCACGCAAATTCATACAAAGATATGTACATGGGTGTGTGTGTGTGTGTGTGTGTGTGTGTGTGTAGGCATTTGTGTGTACATACGCAAACTTGATCTAGCAAAATGTAATAAAGATAACATATAACAGATTGTAGTTTTCCAGATTTCCAGGATAACAGATTTCCAGGAATGCAAGGGTATTTCAGAAATCTGATGAGTTCGTTTCATCAAGTTAACATATTATAGAAAAAGATCATGTGATTATCTTGATAAAGTAACAGTATTTGATAAATGTTCTTAAGTACGATAAAAACTCACCAAGTAGTAATATAAGGTAAATTTGTTAACTTGATAAAGGATATTCATAAAAACACCACCAGTAAATATCATACTTAATGATGAAACACTGAGAGTGTTCCCTGTGACATCAGAAACACAGGCAGGAAGTTCACTATTATCACTTCCAGTCAACACGGCACAACAAATCCTAATCAGCATAAGATGACAACACTATAAAAATGAAAAGACAGAAACAAAATTCTTACATATACATATATATAAATATATAAAATTATATAGCAGGAAAAAATGCAAAAGAAACTAGCAATACATTTTGGAATTAGGAGTTTTGGCAAAGATGCTGAAGAAAATCAATTTGTTTTCTAAACCCTAGCAGTAGACAATATAAATAAGATAGTTACAATGCCATCAAAAAGGCAATGTATCTTGGAAAAATGTAAAATTATACTTAAAGATGTGAATTTTCTCCATAATGACCTTATAGATTCAATGAGATTCCAATCAAATTCATAAAAGTTCCTGTGAAAATTAACAAGCTTATTCTAAAACTTACATGACAGTAGTACCAAGGCTTCAAATAGACAATCTTTAAGAACATGGCAAGTAGCCTAACTCTCAGAGATACTGAATAATTTAGACTGTGATGTAATGGCATGGTGACAGACAGAAAGCCTTATTGAACAGATGACGGCCCAATTCAGACCAGTGAATGTGTGAACATCTGATGGATGAGAGTGGTTTTGCAGATCAATGGGGAAAAAACAGACCTTATAAGAAGGTGATGCTGGAAAGAAGTAAAATGCACTCATTACCTCACAGAAATTCAGAAAAATCTCTTCTACTTAGGTTAAAGACCTAATTGGGAAAAGCAAAGCTATGTTTGAGGTATTCAGAAAATAATATTTATTCGCAAAAATATATGCACCCCTATGTTCAGTGCAGCATTATTCACGGTGGCCAAGACATGGAAACAACCGAAGTGCCCTTTAATAGAGGATTAGATAAAGAAGATGTGGTACATATATACCATGGAATATTACTCAGCTAAAAGAAAAGGTGAAGTACTGCCATTTGTAACAACACAGATGGACCTTGAGAGTATTACATTAAGCAAAATAAGTCAGTCAGAAAAAGCTAAGAACCATATGATTTCACTTGTATGTGGGACATAAAACTGAAACTCAGAGACATAGACAACAGTGTGGTGGTTACCAGAAGGAAGGGGGTTGGGGGAGGGAGTAAAGGGCCAAATATATGGTGCTGGAAGATGATATGATTTTTGGGTGGTGGGCACACAATGCAATATACAGATCATGTATCATAGAAATGTACACTTGAAACCTATACAATCTTTTAACCAATGTAACCCCAATAAATGTAATTAAAATAAAATAAAATACATTCCAGTTCATATTTCTTCTGCACCAGTTGGGATTAAATTAAGCAGCAAGTGACAGAATCAAATGAGTTTTGCCTCTTTCCCATCTCTCCCCAGGGGGAGGACTGAGTGAGAAATGAGGCAAGAGGCCAGAAAGGTTGCTCTAGGAAAGCTGAGGAGTGGGAACAATGTAAAACCCACACACTGCATAATAAAGTTCAACTTCTTGGGTTAAAAAAAAAATTACACACACACACACACACACACACACACACACACACTAGCTTTAAACATCCTTTCCTTTGAGGTCAGAATTTTATAATAAAAAGAATACATAAAGGAAGATTAGGCATATTAAAGTTCATTTTTATTCATCAAAAAGTACCATCAAGAATGCGAAAAGACAAACGACATCCCGGAAAAAAGGTATTTGCAAACATGTAACCAACAAGAATTTGTATCTGGACTATGTGAAAAGTCCTATGAACTGTAAAATGGGCAAAATGACTGGAAATGCAAATTATAATTCCTGCCTAAAGCCCATTAGATTAGCAAGAATTAATAAGCCTAACAAAATTAAGTAGTGCCTAAAATGCAAAGTGAATTCTCTCACAGTGCTGGATGTGGTCAGTCTACTTTGGAAAGTATATTGAATGTACAACACCATGAATGATCTAGCATCATCACTCCTGGAGAAATTCTCGCATTTTTAAGAGACATGTAAAGTGGTACTTATGACAACACTGCCTGCAAAAGCCAAAAGCAAACAAGCAAACAACAAAAACCTACAAACTCAAATATCTATAAAAGTAGAATAAATATTGTAGTATACAGCTACATGCCATTTAATGATATAATACATTCTGAGAAATGTGTCAATTAAGCAATTTGCAATTTCATCCTTGTATGAACATCATAGAGTGCACTTACACAAACCTGGATGGTATAGCCCACTACACACCTAGGCTATATGAAATAGCCTATTGCTTCTAGGCTACAGGCCTGTACAGCATGTTACTGTACTGAATACTGTTGAAAACAGTAACACAATGGTTAAGTATTTGTGTATCCAAACATATCGAAACAGAAAAGGTACTCTAAAAATACAATATAAAAGTTAAAAAATGGTGCACCTGTGTAGGGTACTTACCATGAATGGAGCCTGCATGACTAGAATTGCGCTAGGGGAGTCTGTGAGTGATGAGTGAATGCGAAGGTCGAGACTATTACTGTACAATACTGTAGATTTAAAAAATTGCACACTTAGGCTATGCTAAATTTATCAAGCAACACGAGATTAAATCAAGCAGAAGAAAATGATGCAATCAAGAAGCAGCAGTAAACATGAGATGTCATATGTTGCTGCCAGGGCAATACCATGTTTCACAGCGAACTTTTTTTTGTAAAAGTGCACTATTAAATAACGATAGAAAGTGTAGTAAATACATAAACCAGTAACACAGTCATTTAATATCAAGTATGACATACGGTACATAATTATATGCGCTATATGACTGACAGCACAGGTTTGCTTATACCAGTCTCACCACAAACATGTGAGTAATGCATTGTGCTACAAATTCTGTCTCTCCAGAAGTACAATATTTATTGATTGACTAATTTTGAGAAAGAGAGGAAGGGGAAAGAAAGAGCAATTTTTGTTCCATTTATTATGCATCCATTGGTTTATTCTTGTATGTGACCTGACTGGGGATCAAACTTGCAACCTTGGCATGTCATCCAGGATGATGCTCTAACCAACTAAGCTACCCAGGCAGAACTCTCCAGAGCTACAATATAAGCTCCACCATTCTTTTTTTTCTTTAAATCCTCACCCAAGCATATTCTTTTATTGGTTTTTAAAAGAGAAATGAGAAACTTCGATTTGTCACCTTCTGTATGTGCCTCAACGGGGGATTGAACCCACAACCTCGGTATGTGCCCTGACCAGGGATCAAATGCACAACCTTTGGTGCACAGGATGATGCTCCAACCAACAGAGCCAGATGGCCAAGGTTAAGCTCCACTATTCTTGTTCACTGTTGTACTCAATGTCTAGAATGGTACTAAGCATATAGTGGGATTTCAATAAACATTTTGGAATAGTTGGTTTAAAGGCAATGGTGTACTCCTTAGTCCTCAAGACAGTGATTCTGATGTTTTAACATCACAAGGTGACAGGAATTTGTCAGCTCCATTATAATCTTATGGGACCAATGTCATATATATGGTCTGTCCATTGACTGAAAAGTCATTATGCAGCACATGACTGTATTCATACAGTGGAATACTAGTCAGTATTAAACATAAGTTAATTTTGAGATTAACATTGGTAAACCTCAAAAATTGAGAGCTAAAAATACATACTGAATTAATATGTATGTATATTCACTGGGTAGAGGTAAACACATAATTGGGAAAACTTGGAAGAAAAACAGGTGAAAAATTACCACAAACATCAAGTTGGTGATTACAATGGAGAGAGAGGCTATGTGATCAAGAAGCAGCACACAGAAGGCCTTTAATTGGTAATGCTCTGTATCTTAATCGGGGTAGCTCATGCCCTGATGTTTCCCTTATTATTCTTTAAAGTACACAGTTATACATATTTGTACTTACGATATTTTACAACAGAAATTAATTTATCACATTTTCATTTAATTTTTGGTAATAAAATACTTTATTGGTACCATTTAATGTAAAAAACATGACAATGTTTCCACTGCTTAGCTTCCATCTTTAAGATAAAAGTTAGTTTAAAAAAAAAAATCAGGAAAAAAATCATTTGATTCTGTCAAAAAACAAGCTGAAACTTACCTTGGCAAATAATTAATTAGGTTCCCTCACTTTTCCCTGGTCTTCATAATACTTTTATATCAAAGTAGACAACAGCCTGAATAACTGCACTAAACATTTTACACATCTTAAAAAAGAAAGCCTAAGTGCTATCCCAACTTAAAACTTGTAAGGATAATTAGTAAGAGTTATTATAAAATTGAATTCATATAGCACCAAGAAATTTGGAATTTATAATATTTCATGGTATGATTTACTGAGTCGAAAGAGTAATGATTTTTCTTCTGTGATTTTTCCAGAGGTTTATATACAAATAGAAAAAACAACGCTGGGCCCTTGTTAAAAGCTAAAGTTTAAAAAATCTACACATGCCTTTCACCATATCTCTAATTTCTGGATTTAGCAATTGACGCTATGGTAAAAGATTCATGTGTGATACATAACATAGTATGGTCCTATCTGAATATAAGTCCTTATTCATCTTGTCTCATTAATACAATTTATACCTCAAAACATCATTCTATCTGCAAGTAATATATATCTCTAAAATAGTCTATAATCCAGATTTCCATTCATACTCTTCTCCCTCTCCTCTCCTCAAATCAGTCTGATCTTATGGTATATATATCTCATTTTCCTTTTCTCCCTTCTGTAAAACTATCAACTCAAAGTATTATGCTAATAACGCAAATACAGATGTAACATATATTAACATATTAGGAAAAAAGGATTGTAAATACATATGGATCCATGCTAAAGGAGACAGTACAAACCAAAAACACATAGCATCATGCTATGCTCATCTATTCTGAACCACCCACCACTAGAAGGTCCTGACAGAGCCCTGGCTCATGATGTTACCAGACCACTGGTGTCCTGTGCCCCAACATAATTCAATGTCTGTTAGAGACGTTGCCATGCTGATTGTAGTTCTCTTGAAACAGTCTACAGAAACTCTGACTTCTAATCCTGAACATTATGACAAAGTAATAACACCCTATATTTTTAATTAAGTCATAGATTCTAAGTATTTCCAACTATTACCCATTTGCTTGGGTAATAAAACAGACATTTAGGGGACTAAACAACAAGAAGGGGTTTTTACTTCTGTCTTCTCTTGATTGGTTGGGGATTTCAGATGTGTCATTTAATTATCCTCCGTTTCAGTGAAAAAGGATTCTTCAAGCAACTGACCAATGATCTTCATTTAAAAACCAAGCAAGTTGACTCAAGTGGTTAGGTGAAAAACCTTTGTCCACACACTCTATCTGTAATTCTCCATCTGTGCAGGAATGAGATGCTCCTTACCCATCATCATCATAGATGCAACCAGAACACATGAGAACATGGGTAGAGTAGAAACTAACTCAAAACTACTTCTGGAACCAAACACCAAATTTTGATTTATCAATGATTCCAGATGGAGCATTCTCACAAAACAGAGACTTTGCATTGAAACAGTTGCTTTTTCTTTTCATATGAAGTTAAACTCCTAAAGTAATGTTAGAAAGAACACAAAAGATAAGCATGTCTTCCCTAAAAGAGGCACTACATCTGGAACTGGAATTAAGGCTAAACAAATAGTGCTGGTTTGTGGTTTGGTACTGGGTTGTGGTTCAACTAATGGTTACATTAACCAACAACTTCACTATTTGTCCTGTATGCTTTTTTGCGGAGATGTGTCTCTATCTCCTCCCTGAAGACCAGCATTCCCATGTGTGAGTGAGAGGCTTCATTCATGGCTTTGGACTGGATGCACATGCGGTACTGCTCGGGGGTCAACTCATCAGCACAGTGTTTCTCATGCCAGAGGTGGAAAAGACCAGGAACTGGAGTCCGAATCACAATCAGGTCACCATGTAAGTATTTTCGATAAAGATGAACATCTTCTCCACCCCAGCCTTTAACTTCCATGTCAAATCCACCTGTAGGATCAAAATTAGCACTCTAAGTAACTACCTAGCAGCTGGAACACAGTCAATCCCGGTAAAGACTTTAAATGTTCTGTTTCAAATGAGATGGCATGGAATATAGTCCACAGACACCTCATGTTGAGGACTGACATTCTGGTTTGGAAGTCCAGTTACCAGATGACATCTAGGAGTTCAAGGTCTGTTGTTGAGACTATTGAAATGAAATTAAATATTTGAGACTACTTTGTACACTTCAAAGTTCTATAGAAAATTTTGAGAAAGTCAAGAAGGAAATATAAATCACCCATGATCTAACCACCATGAATATTTTATTGTTTTCTTTCTCTCCTTTGAGATGCAAGTTTTGCTGGGTTGCGTAAAACTTACCAGAGGGAAGAAAAAGAAATGTCTAAGCTAGAGATATAAATTTAAAAGCAGAGTCCAGGTCTAAATGGTAACAAATGCTAATAAATAGAGGTTAAATAGGCAGGGGAAGGTCAGTCTGCAAGAGACTGAGAAATGGCCCCAGAGGAGAGAGAAAATTCTACAAAATGTGCTATCACAATAGTTAAGTGAAGAAAGTGTCTTGAGGAAGAAATGGTCAAGCATGTGCTGCTCAACTAAGAACATAAAAAGAAGTCAACTAGATCTGGCAACATAAATGTCACTTATAACCTCACGTAGAACAATTCTGAGAGAATGGGCAGAGGGTTAACTAGAAAGGGCACATGAAATGGGAGTTGAGACTAATTTGAGTTGAATAAAAATGCTTTTTAAAGAAGCATGGCAAACAAAAACCATTTTTAGTTTGTTTATTTTTAAAGCTATAAAAGATTCTTAAACACTGAGAAAAATTAATTCTTTTATTAAGAACTGGGTTTTCAAATTATGTCTTCTGTCAAATAATTGTACTCCACTGAATTTCACATCCACAGGATGACAATAATCCAGGGATCTGTAAAAAGCATTACTTTAAATAGCCACAGCTTCACTAAAAGCTATGTCTGAGACATATGGGCTTTTGTGCCTTGTAAGTACAAATAAATTCTTCAAATATCAGAGATGGTATAGATACTTAAAATAAATGGGGAACTTCAAGTTTCTGGTTCAGCACATAAAGAGCTTAAAAGTCAACACTGCATCCTAACAACAAATTTTAAAAGCTTAACAAATTAAAAAAATCAGTAATGTTTCTCAGACTCCTCAGAGAAATAAAGTCATGGGGCAAAGTGCTCCCCACCCCCAAACTGGAGAGACATGATAAGTGGGTAGGATATAACCACAATTGTTAGAGCAGAAATTCATGAGAAATTAGGGAACCAGTGCAAGGGTAGGAAAATCTCAGCTGCAATCAATGAATTGCTAGAGGCTCAACTCCAGGAGGGCCTATTCACAGGAGGGCCCCTATACTTTTGTGAGTTTTACTTCTAGGAGCTCTACAAGGTTCTAACAATGAAGATGGGAGAAACATCCCCCAATGCTTCCAGAAGGGGGAGAGGAAAGTAATGGTTCTGAAACATGCCAGAGCATTTTAATAACCTACTTTAGCTTTCCTGTCCCACCGAAGGTGAGGGGCAGTGTCTGACAAACGCTTGCAAAGTTCACAGTCCAGACACACCTCTTCTCCCACAGCCCACTACCACATTACTCAAGACCGATTTACTGCAGTTTCCTCTACCCAGTATGTCATGTCCAGCTATGAAGAAAAAACTAGGCATATTAAAGGGCAAAGAACAGTTTCAAGGGACCAGAGCAAGCATCAGAACCAGGCTCATATGGCAGAGACTTAGAATTTAAAACAACTATGATTAACTGCTAGAGACTTTAATGGAAAAAGTAGACAACATCCAAGAACAGATGAGTAATGAAGGAAAGGGAAAGAGAAACTAAGAAAACATAAAAATGAAATGCTAAAGATAAAAAACAATGAAACAGAAATGAAGAATGTCCTACTAATAGGACAGTAAATGGAACTGGCTGAGAAAAGAATCTGAGGTTGAGGACATGTCAATAGAAACTTCCAAAACTGAAAAGCTAAGACAAAGACGACTGGGAAAAACAAACAAAAGCAGCAAAGCATATTCAAGAAGTATAGGGCAACTACAAAAGACATAACATACATATAATGGGATTATCAAAAGGAAAGGAAAGAGAAAGAAACAGAAGCTCCAAAATTTCCACAAAGAAGTGCCCCTGAGGGAAGGGGCTCCCTTTCTCACCAGCCAACATCATAGGATGGTTTCTTTTGCTGTGCAAAAACTTTTTGGTTGATGTAGCCCCATTTGTTTACTTTTTCTTTTGTTTCCTTTGCCCCAGGAAATGCATCAGAAAAAAATATTGCTAAGAGAAATGTCAGAGATTTTACTGCCTATGCTTCCTTTTTGGAGTTTTATAGTTTTGGGTCTTACATTTAAGCCTTTGATTCATTTTGAATTTATTCTTCTATATAGTGTAAGAAGGTGGTCTAGTTTCATTTTTTGCATGTATCTGTCCAATTCTCCCAACACCATTTATTAAAAAGACTGTCATTACCCCACTGTATGTTGCCTCCTTTTTCACATATTAATTGACCATATAATCATAAATGTATTTCTGGGCTTTCTATTGTGTTCTGTTGATTTATATTTCTTTTTTATACCAGTCATGATTACTATGGCCTTGTAGTATAGTTTCATATCAGGTAGTGTAATACCTCCACTTTGTTCTTCTTTCTCAAGATTGCTTTGTCTGTCTATTCAAAATCTTTTGTGGTTCCATATAAATTTTTAGAATATTTGTTCTAGTTCTGTGAAATATACCATTGGCATTTTGATAGAAATTCCACTGAATCTATCGATTGCTTTGGGTAGTATGGACATTTAGTGTTAATTCTTCCCATCCATGAGCACAGTATATGCTTCTATTTATTAGTATCTTCATCAATTTCTTTCTTCAGTCTTAAAATTTTCCAAGTACAGGTCTTTTACCCTCTTGGTTAAATTTATTCCTAGGTGTTTTTTACTGATACAATTTTAAGATTGTTTTCTTAGTTTCCTTTTTGAAAGTTCATTATTGGTGTATAAAAATGCAACTGATTTCTGAGTATTTATTTTGTATCCTTCTACTTTACTCATTTATCAGTTCTAGTAGTTTTCAATGGAATCTTTAGGATTCTCTATATAGAGTATACCATGTCACCTGTAAATAATGCCTATATTACTTCTTCCTTTCCAATTTATTTCCTTTTCTTGACTGATTGGTGAGGCAAAGACTTATTCTGTATTGAATAAAAGTGGTAAAAGTAGACATGCCTGTCTTGATCCTGATCTTAAGGGAAACATTTTCTCCCACTATGATGTTAGCTGTGGGTTTGTTATGGCCTTTATTATGTTTAGGTATGTTTCCTCTATTCATACTATGCTGAGAGGTTTTTTAAAAAATCATAAATGGGGGATGAATTTTGTCAAATGCTTCTTCTGCACCTATTAATATGATATCATTTTTATCCTTCATTTTGTTTATGTGGTATATTATGTTAACTGATTTGCAAATATAGTACCAACCATGCATCCCAGGAATAAATCTCATTTGATTATGGTGTAAGATCTTAATGTATTGCTGACATTGAATTACTGATATTTTGTTGAGGATTTTTGCATCTATTTTCATCAGGAATATTGACCTATAATTTTCTTTCTCTGTAGCATCTTTATCTGGTTTTTGAATTAGAATAATGCTGAACTCATAAAAACAGCTTGGGAGTCTTCCCTCCTCTTGAGCTTTTTGGAATAGTTTGAGAAGGATAGGTACTAATTCTTTGACTGTTTGGGAACAATTCACCTGTGAAACCATCAGGTCCAGGACTTTTGCTTGATGGAAGTTTCTTGATTACTGCTTCAATTTCATTAGCTGTAATCGATCTATTTAGATTTTCTGATTCTTCCCGCTTCAGTTTTAGAAGATTGTATGTTTCTAGGAATTTATCCATTTTGCTCAGATTGTTCAATTTATTGGCATATAGTTGTCTGCAGTACTTCCTCATAATCCATGGTATTTTTATGTCAGTTGTTATTCTCCTCTTTCATTTCTGATTTTACATATTTGGGCCCTCTTTTTCTTTTTTCTTGATGAGTCTCTTTAAACATTTATCAATCTATCTTTTCAAAGAACCAACTCTTGGTTTCATTCGTCTTTTGTATTTCTTTTTATACTCTGTTTATCTTCTCTGATCTTTATTTCCTTTCTTCTACTGATACTGGGCTTTGTTGTTCTTTTTCTAGTTCCTTTAAGTGTAATGCTATTTTTTTTGAGATTTTTCTTGTTTCTTGTGCTGGACCTGTAATGCTACCAATTTCCTTCTTAAGATTGCTTTCACTGTGTCCCATATATTTTGGGTTGTGTTCTTGTTTTCATTTGCTTCAAGGTATTTTTAAATTTCTTCCTTGATCTTACTGTTAACCCATTCATTGTTTAGTAACATGTTGTTTAGCCTCCGTGTGTCCATGTGTTTTCCAGTGTTTTTTATTTTTGTGATTTCCAGTTTCACACAATTATGGTCAGAGAAGATGCTTGACATGATTTCAATCTTCTCAAATTTACTGAGACTAATTTTGTGTCCAAACTTGTGGTCTCCTAGAAAACGTCCCACATGCACTTCAAAAGAATGTCTAGTTCGTTGCTTTGTGGTGAAATGCTCTGAAGATTTCAATTAAATCCTTCTGGTCTAGTGTGTCATTTAAGGCCACTATTTTCCTGTTGATTTTCTCTGTGGAAGATCTATCCATTGATGTCAATGGTGTGTTAAAATCCCCTATACTACAACCGCATTACTAGGCATTTCTTTCTTTATGTCCATCAAGATTTGCTTTATATATCTAGGTGCTCCTATGTTGGGTGCATAAATATTTACAAGAGTTAAATCCTCTGGACTGATCCCTTTAACATTATGTAATGTCCTTTGTCTCTTATTATACCTGTTTTTTTAAAGTTATGTTCTCTGATATAAGTATTGCTACTCTAGCTTTTATTTCTCA